GGCGCAATTTGTTCTAAAAATAGAAAAATTGTCCCATATCATAGGGACAGCCCCAATACTAGAAATGGCGAGCGCTTACGGTCTCCGTCCCCGATTATGGCTCCTGATATGACTGAAAAAAAAGAAGAAGAAGAAGAAGAAAAGGAAGAAGAAGAAGAAGAAGAAGAAACTTCATTGTGATTAGCACGGAGCAGGTAGACTCATCGTTAGTTTTCCATTTATACTGTATTACAAATAAATACAGGTGTGAGCAATTTCTACAGTCATATAATCTAATAATAAAGGAGCAAACGCATGAAGACTCAAGCAATTAAGAATTTACACTTCTCTTCATATTTGAAAACTCTTTCAAGTTACACTCGCCCAAATGTTCTTACAATTCTCCAATATAACTCGTAATTGCACTGCCATTCAAACGATAACCTAAACTTATAAGTTTAAACTCCTTCGAAAATAAACTGGGGCTCTCTCAACACAATATAATAACTACAAGTGTTATTGTGTTTTTTGTAAAACAAATCTCGAGGTACTTCAGGCCTACGGTGTGTTAGTAGAAAATATTATTGCATCTTTAATCAAAACTATAACAAAATTCTCGAACGTGATTGGCTATCAGCAGCCCGAGTTGAGCATTGATTGGACAGTGTACACGTCATGCTTGTAATCGGACAGTGCGCGTCATTTTGACGCGCTGTTGCGGTGCACTTTGTTGAGTAAAGTGCTGTGTTTTTCAGCATTCATAACGACGTTTAATCTGCAAGTTCAGCGCTCAATCGATGGTTAACTTTGTTTGTTTCTTGCATTTTGTCATAGTTTTGATTAATTGGTAGGGCGTGATTAACAAATCGGACTCCCGCTTCGCGGTCGTCCGATTTTGTTAATCACTCGTATGATTACAGACCGAATTAGACTCCACTCAGTCCTATTACCATTATTAATTTACCCTGTTTACCCTGTTAGATGTCAGTTATACAAAAACCTGGTCGCTTCACTAAACGGATATTTTCAAATCTGACCCATTTTATAGTATTGTCGTCAAATTTCACTGACGCGAAAGCCGTACCCGAAATCTTCACGACAGTACCGGATCGATACCACTCTGGTTTATCGTATCTGTGAAGGGCTATTACTGACGAATTA